GGGTTAGAGATTGAAAGTCTAAACCCCCAATTGGAACATCCTTGACACAAATGAAATATACATGTTACTCACGTGCTTTTTTAAGTTGAAATTGCTTTTTCGGGAAATTAAATTGTTTTTTGAAAAGGGTTAAAACAAAACAAACATAAGTTTGTATGCACAAAATTCACAATCCTAGTGATCAATATAACGTAGGACATTCAAAATGTCATCAACGAAAAGTCAATACTTTCCGAAATAAAGATAATGTCTTACGTCTTATAACGATCACCTTGCGCATGCGTTTACACGGCGATAATTACAGTCTCGTGATAGTAACTCGCTTTCACGACAGCTTTATCTACTGTCGCTATGTCCACAATACAATAATAATAATAATAATAATTCACTCTAGCAATACTATCACGATGCCCATAACCATAACCTAACCGTTAAGACGTTATAATAATATTATACAATTTTCACGATATCCGTGTCGTTTTCCAGCCCTAACCGTCATAAAATTGCATAGTTTATAATATGTAAAGACTGTCTATCTGCCCGCTATACGAATCTACGGGTAGTTTCATTCCGATCTAGATGAAATTTCGTTCACTTGACATTCAAAACAAGAGGAAGTTCTACTATTATCTCAACAGCTAACCCCTAAAAAGAATGGCTTACGATTTATTTTCGATAATATGATTTCTGGGCTACCTCGGTGACATGAATGAAATAAATAAAAATAACAAACATTTATTATTATTCAATTGTGTTGTCACGGACAACGGAAGTACGGCCCTTTTTAGATAAACCACCGCGGACAACAACGATTGACTGTGATATCGATAAAGGTGGAAAAGGGGGACACATTTAAAAGACAGACTTTCGATTGCATATGTTATAAGATTTATCATTTTTTTTTTTTTTTTCAGACGAGCCCAGAAAATACTACATTATTTATAGTTGATGTATTATATGTATTTTTTCTTTTTATACGCTTACTTTATCACTGTTCTAAAACTCGAACTGATCATCTATGACGGTTTGTCGGTTCTATGGGTATAAATTTATACTAAATATCTGCAACACGTGTGATCCCGACGATACAAATGTATTATTCTTTTTACGCGAAAATGATTTCAAAAAGAAAACAACGAAACACCGTCACCTACCTCCTCTGCGATATATTTTGTCGTACGCGAGTACGGTTTTCACTTTTTAGCCGATTTTACGCACTGCGAACAAACAATATTATTTTATCGTACTGTACCTATACTGCAGAAACCAACGGATGTCCCACTATAGACAGCAGTAAATCGTAATCGTAGCAATAATAATATCATCAGAACCGCGCAACTAATATTGTTACCGCACTCGACGACTTTACGACCGATACTGATTACCAATATGTATACATGCATTATAATATTATAGTCTCATAACAATTTAAATGTTAAATACTTGTAAACGTCGTAATCGTCGAGCAAAAAAAAACAAAAAAAAAAAATGTTTTATCGACACCGAGAGGGTTACCGGTGCATTATTATAATATCGTTTGTTCGTCCGAACCGAAGTTGTATAATAATGTACTAAGCTACCTGTACGCACGCACCTCATATAGCTTAGCGTCGAATTGTTGACGAATTAAACGAAAAAAATTACAATAATACAAATTTAATCGATAAAAGCGCGTTTTAAACCGATGCGCACTCTCGAATAATACCTACCGAACTTAACCGATACTTGTTTCAAATCCCTATGATACACACTGAGTGATTGATTTGTATTATTATTTTATTTTTATTTTTAATAGCGAACCGGCTATTTCGCGTGACGAAATTTAGAGACACTGGCGAAGACCAGAAGAACACGCTTCGTTACCAACAAGATACGGTCCCTCGGTAAACGTTTTTTTTTTTTCCACGGCAAATAAAATGCACCGATATTAATTACGCGTAATACTAACGGCGCGGTGAATGACGGTGCACAAAGCACGATTACAACACGTTTGAGCGGTCGGCGCTTTGGAGGGGTTCAACGGGGGGTGTAGGTTAGGTTAGGTTATTATTACAAAAATGTACTTATGTATAATTAAAATAAATCATACAAATTTTTTTTTTTTCATTTTCATAATTAAAGGAAATTAAAAAGTAAGTATTCGAACTACTGTTCTAGAGACCATCTATGGTTCTGTCGTGGAAAAGCCTGTATGCATTTATCTACATAATGGTTGTTTATAAGTAGGTAAACAGTATTATATCCATTTATGGATATTAATTATTTCTAAATACCAAATACGCGGATTGTTGACGTTCTTCGTACCAACCAATACCCAGATGATAAAAAAAAAAAAAAAAAAAAAAAAAGGAATCATTACATACTGGATAATTTGTATATTTATATGTTATATATGTTTGAGTAGCAAACATTGTAATAGTGTATAAACAATACAAAAGCAAGGACGATAAAGAGGAGGGTCTACTCGGATTTACCCGGTGGGCCTATCCGCCCCTGCACCCATTATGCAATTTCGACCGTGACACCTAGGCGTATTGAAAACCCCTTCACCACGTTACTCTGCAATATGCTTTGAAATACCTCGAATTTCGGTGGTACTTTATTTGAAACAGTCTGCTAGTATTCCGAAAGTTTTTCTAGAAGTAATTTTAAAGTTAATAATAAGCAATTTACTTTTATATTTTTTTTTTACTTCCTGGTTGATTTGGGTACAGAGGACAAACGACTAGATTCATATAGTATAGTAATCATCTAACGTCTAACTAAACCGGATGGATTACCGAGGTCCGCTAACAATCGTTTTTCGACAAGAACGATTTGTTCGATTATAATTACGCGTATATCATACGTATATTCATCACACAAAGAGCAACAAATTTTTTTCCCCGAAAACGCGCATCGAAAATCTCCAAACAATTGGAATCACGCCAATATATGATATTTATTAGCGTTTTAAGTGTCTACGCTGATAAAAGATGTTAATCTAACCTAAACCAACCCGTCTAGTAAAAAAAAAAAAAAAAAACATCGGTCAACGTTCAAATATAATAATTTTTAAAATATCCACCGGTGATTGTGGAATACAACGTGCACGTTTGGCGAACATATTTATTTTGCTCCTATACGATAGCGACTTTAAAAAATATACACTAAATTATCACTATAAATTGTACATAAATAAATACACGCTCTTAATGTTATTACAGTAAAGGCCGTCGTCGTAAAGATAACGTCGTTGGGAATTTCATGCAACAATATTCGCGTAATGTTTTAAGTGCAGCGGCATTTTTAATTTACTTATAGACATTTCAATCAGTTAATACATTGTTATTTTTTGTCGACATTCACCGACCATACTATCATAATTTAATATAACTATATAAAACACTTATTTTAGTCGTATTAAAATTAGGTTAAAAAAAAAAAAAAAGCGTAATGGTTGAACTACATTTGGGTCAGGAAAAGTGTTTCAACGAAAATCTCGGAAAAATAAACTTAATTCAAAAATGTTGAAATATGATTTTGACTTTTCAACATAATTTCAAATAGATACTTATATGTTACATAAGATTACACTGCAGATGCAAGATCTTCAACTATACGATACCAGAAAAAAAGAAACGAAATTAAATAATATATTACTTTATAGGTATATGTTCGACAATCAATTACCCCAATGAAGTTATCTATTAAATCCATGCTTTTAAATCGTTTTAAAAAAAAAAATTAAATAATTTAAAAATTAGCTAAAACCTCTTTTTAACTATATATATTTAAAAAAAAACCCTTATTTTAACCATATTAATGATTGTTATAACTATTGTTAGTCCTAGCTACGTAATAGGGAAAATAATAAACTGTAATTTTCGTACCTACAAACTTTGCTGATTTTCCATACATTTTTCCGGGTTTTCAAAATTATTACCCATGAAAATTACAGGAAAAATAAAAATTCCCCCGAAACGCATCGATTGATAAAATTTGTTTTTAGAAAAATTATACATACTTGAAAACCGGAACAAGACTTCCAGTGTAAAACTTGTAAACAAAAAAAAGGATGGATGTACTTTCCAGGATGGGTGGGCCACTGGTGTGTAAGTGAGAAGTTGGGAAGGTGGATACTATAGAAAATAATTAAATTTATATCTGTTATAAACCATTGCCATCGAAAAACAATTCTGAGCGAGATTTAATTATAAACGTTTCGAAAGGCCTTAATATTTACGGTTTTTGTTAGAATTTAATTTTAAAACTCTTAAAAAAACAAAAAAATACTACATTACACTCAATTTTTTTTTACCACTATAAGCATGACTTATAATGAACCTTCTGTTAAATTTTCAAGTATTTCTGTTTTTTTAAAAAAAAATTTATTCACGTAGTACCTACTCAAGAAAAACTACTTGAGAATAACTAGCAAGTATAAAATGCCTATAAATAGCTTAAAAATTGTCAGAAAAATTTTTACTAACCAATTAGTTTTAAGATGCAACAAAGCAGTTTTCTTGTCATTTTTTTCTATTAGATTCAGTTTTCTGAAAAAAAAAATGTACAAACACAAAAATATAAAAATACCACACATACACATTATAACATTTCTAGCTGCGCTCAGAGTTTAAAATAATAATACTAAACAATAATAATTGCGAACAAAATAATAATATATAGGTATTTTAAATGACAGTTATGAAAAAGAAAAAAAAAACGATTACTATATACCATATATTGATACGATAATGAAAAACAAATTAAACATTCGTTTTTCCATAGTTCGATCAAACCTTACCGATATGATAATAATAATAATATGATACCTATACAAACAAGTTATTTATAAATATATCAAAGGTTAATGTTTAAAATAACGTTTAAAAATAAAATGTTATTTTTATATTATTATAATGTGCGAGTATAAAAATCACCGGTTATCGCATGTACACCATTTTTTTTTTCATTTTTTTTTTTTTTTTATTGGACCGTATATACGAAAGTACATATACCTCGTTGGTATACCGAACACGCACGAGTTTTCACCTCTTTGTAATATAGAAATTATTATTACCGATAAGCAATCGACTCGCTAGACTTTTTATATTTAACGCAATAATAATTATTATTATTATTCCACCGATATCTCGTCTCGGTCACAATCGTCCTAGACCAAGGCTAGATAAAAAAAAAAAAAACCACAAATACAAATATAGGCACCTACAGCTGCTGTTGTAATGTGTATAATGTTTATTATACACAATGTACACAATATTATACAGTTATATAGAGTGATTATAATTGTATAGGTTCTCTCTGAATACATTATATTAAATTGGAAAACGGAATATTTGTCTAAAAATCTGGTATAAGCCTCTAAAATGTATAGGCCGATGCAGTAGAATCGTGGAGGGTTTCCCGAACGTGTATACGTGTAATTTTTTACAACCCTGTATATTAATAAGAATCCGCCCTGTATACTATATTTTATGCATATTTTTTTTTAATAACCGAACGATACAAATTAATATTATTGTGTCGAAACGTCCGTCCGCGTACGAGTGGTTTATATGGCAACGACTCCGTTCTTATAATCTTATCTCGAAACGAATTAAGCAACCGTATACCTTAAAGCTGATAGCGCAGCTATATTATATTCTTATGTATATTAATATACATACGTGAAAACAATGCACAACATAGAGCTCAACACGGTTTTTTTTGTGAAATAAAAACCTCGATACAAGTATCGCGGAGTTTTGTTAAAAAATATAAAAATTACGCACTCTAGGATAATAATAATAATATTATTAAGTACACAGTTTTTACATAGTTATATTATTATGCTTAACGATCGCTAAATGTGCCACGTGTACATTATTACAGAGCCATAAAGTAGTCTATAGATTCAATTGACCCCGGGTCCTGGTCTCTGGTCACCGTTTATTGACAATAATAATTAATCGTGGACAGTGGAAAAAAAAAAATGATCGAAAAACTCATAACTCATAGGTATTATAAGTCCTTGGCCGCAGTGCCATTCAGACAAAAATTAAGGGACCGCCGTGCGTCTAGACGTCTGTAAAACGCGTAAATATATATCGGGACAATTGTACACAATTATATATTAATTCATAGTGGCGCCAAGGATTTTATTTTTTATGTTCCGTATTGTTTAAAACGAATAAATCCTACGTAGACACTACGTGTATACAAATCGATCGGTACAAGGGAATTGTACAATATTATTTTGTGTAAAAGCCAAATACCACTCACTCGCTCACCGAGTGCTGATTCGTCACTGAATCGCCTTAAGAACCACAGATCTAGAAATTTAAAATTTTGCACAGAGGTTCTTTATATTTTACATATGGTGTAACAGTTTCATGAAACGTATATTTTCGAAATATTTCACGAAAGTTGCACGAAGTGTTTAATTTCGATGAAAAATAAAAACAAATGCCCATAATTTATTTTTCATTGTGAATTTCAAATAGCGACAAATGGCAGACAGCATATATTTGAGGCACTCAATATGGCCCCGCCGACTCGTAATTCTTTAAAAATTGCTAACAAGAAATTGAAAATATCTAAAATTAACAAGTCTTAACAAATACTTCAATCAGTTTTAATCAGTTCAATCATTTTTGACATTATAGATATTTGTTTATTACGGTACAAGGCCAATTTTAATAAAGAATGTAATATTTAAAGTCTATAGTGAATACATCACTACTACAATATTAATTAGAGACATACCTAAATAAAACATAATAAAAATCATAGCCAATCAACAAAATTTAAAAAAATATATTTTTCAACGCATAACCCTTATTAGACCATGTATCGCAATAAAATTCGACCTTACAATTCGACTTCCCACGCATGAATCTGATGATTAAAATACAACAATTGCATATTTTGTTTTCGTTATAATTTCTTGGTTACCTTCTTAGAGAGACACGGATGAAAAATCATCAACTTTATTATCCATGTACTTACATTAGATGCATTTTATTCGTCACGGGCAGTGTCATATATTGAACAGCTAGTAATATATTACAATATGGATAAAAAAAAAAAAGCAGATACTGAGAATAGTTGCGGCCATAGTTGAAGGTGGGTAGTTGGGAAGGTGGGATACATAAAGTTATTTAATTTATACCTGCCGACTCACATGGTCACACCACATCAAAATTAAAAAGCTTGCCCTAAATGCTCGTCTCCGCATCCTTAAAATCCTAATCTCAAACAACATACTCCTCTAAATGTCAAACTCCTAATTTATAAATCCCTACTCAAGCCAATATGGACCTATGGCCTCCAGCTCTGGGGCAATGCTAAAAAATCCAATACAAACAAAATTCAAATCCTTCAAAATAAAATCCTTCGCTAAATCACAAATTCTCCACTATGCATCTCTAACTTAACTTTACACTCTGGCCTAAAAATCAAAACAGTTCATGAAGAAGCAGTCACTTTTTACGAACGTTTCCATTCCAAACTTCTTTTCCATATCAACCCACTTATCTGAAATCTTTCCTCCCTCATAATTCCTGGAAACCCCCCCAGGAGGCTTAGAGGAGAATGGTGCCGTGATCTTCTTAATAACTAATAAACAATAACACAAGTAAGGGCAGTGTTACCACTGGGTAGCTCCTCCCATCATTCAATCATGTTATTACCATCTATCATCACATATTCTTATTATTCCTCGGGAATAGATTGTATATTATAAAAATTTAAAATAAAAAAAAAAAAAAAAAAAAAAAAAAAATAGCCAATGTAGGTAATTTTTTTTTTGTACTATAGTCAGTATATATATACACTATATAAGTACAATATCTTCCGTTTTTTAATATTCGGTCGCATTATTTTGAACTTAATTTTGCCCTTGGGCGTGGCTGACGTCGACCCCAGGATATGGCTGGACACCGAATTATAATCAAACATAAATGGGTCCCCCGGAAAACAAACATATAATTTAAAAATCACATCGAGTTTACCATCACGCTTGATCGTATTGTCTGCACTGTCATTTGAACTAAATTAACAGCAATCGTAAAACTAACTAGAGTTTAAGTATCTGTATAGAAAAATTTCGGGCTTCAACCCGAAGCAAAAGACCATGCAGCGACATAGCCTGCATACCTCGTGTACACTCACATACGGTGCATGGATACTGGGTTTGGTTGCTCGTAGGCAAAATAAAAACCAAGTATAGCCAAACATATTTTATTAATTTTTTTACTAAACAATTTGACAGCATTAATTGTATATCCATGAATGTTATTTAATACATTTTTTTAAATAAATGTGAAATAGCATTCTTTGGTCTTGAAAAATATTATTTTAGTGGTTAGAGTAAAAAATGTATATTTTTCTACATTTTTCAACAAATCGCAAACGTATTCTGACACAATTTGAGTAGGCCTTATGACCTATATGACTGTCGACTTGGCATAAAACCAGATCCAAAGATCAACAAACTGAACGTTTCTAAGATATCTAATATCTTAACTCATCAAATCACATGGAATAAATTATAACTAACATATACTTATATTGCATATACACTCAATTTTACAATAAACATTCAGTAAATCAATATATTTATTGACAAACTAAGACACATCATCCAAGTTAAAATAATCTGAAAAACAAAATCATTAAAATGATATTTTACTGGTAAAAATAATCTTATTCAAAAATATAGAGGTATTTAATAGTTAATATACAAATTAAAATACTAGAAACAAGAAAAAAAATATTTTGACAGGAATTATATACTCCTATATAAGTGAGAATAAACAATGCTAATACTATAATAGGTAAAATATTATATTATTTTAAAAAATAAGAATAAAAAATAGCATTTTCATTTTCTAAAAGACAAATTATTAGAACCCAGTAAGTCATAACCTAAAAACATTTAAATAATGTTTAAAATGACAAACAAATTTTAAAAAGTTAGAAAAGTAGAATACATACAACTTTTTATTTTACATCTATATGTAATGATATATGCTAATGAAATATGATTCTGAGTAAAGTTTAAATATGTTTTTACAAGACTTGATTTTTGCTAAAAATTTTAACTTTTATCTTTTATTGTGTGATTAATTATTTAATTATTAATTATTTATTGTGAAATTATAACAAAAAAAAAAAAACTAATCCAAAATAATGAAAATGTTGTTGGCATAAATTTTCACATTTGTCTACGATTATAATGAAAAATACTATAAAAATCAAATAGATGACTTTCTTAATGCATTTTGAAATAGATACAAATTTCTACAAATAAATTTGTATGTTATTTTTTAATGGAGTAAAATGGGCGGCAGAAAAATTTTAAACAAAAGAGAGTAAATATAGTTTATTTAATACTGAACTATTTTTTTTAATTGACCAAGGCTAAAATAATTTAAAAAATCAATTGTAGTATCAATTAAGCAAAAGTATGTCTGCTCATAAAACATATTCCTATCACAAAACTTTAGATTGGAAGGAATTATAAACAAACTTCTATACAAAGGATGATTATAATAGGAAAACTAATATAATATATAAGTTCAAACGAAAACTGTGTCAACATGTATTATTTTTTATCAAATATGGTGATATTTTATTTTAAAATGTATGTCTGATCATAATAAACATTTATATCACAATAAACCAGATAATTTATTAATAAAAGTACAAATCAGAAATATGTTTTGTATAGGCAAACCACCATGCTATTCAAATTTGAATAGATTATATATTTTTAAGTTTTTAAAATGTATCATATATTGTGAAACTAAACATAAAGAAACATCCCTATCACAATAAATTAGATAATGTACTATAAAAAATTTAAGTCATAAGGATTATTCATGCAAAATAACTGCCATATGAAAATAAATCAAAACAATGTATCTCTTATAGGTATAGAATATTCAATTATAAGAGTAAAATGTATCAAATTAAAGGGATGCCCTGGTATTAGCAAACAATATGCTATTCAAATTTACACAAATTATACATTTCTATGTATTTCATTTGGATATAATTTTGTAAAATTATGTATCAAAACGCATGTCTGAACATAATGCACAATCCTATCACAAAATTTTAGATTATTCATTATTAAAAGTTGAAGTCAGAGTGATGGTTAGTATACTAAACCGCCATGCTATTCAAATTTAAACAAATTATGAATTATTAAGTTTTCTAATTGGCATCAGATATTGTGGAATTATAAATAAAACATATTTATGATTAAAATACACATTCCTATCACAAAGAACTAGTTAATGTAATAAAAGTGGAAATCTAAAAGATATTTTAATAGACAGATTAATATTATTTATAAATTTAAACAAAAACTGTATCTACATGCATTTAATTTGTATCAGATATTGTGAAATCATCCATTAGAACGTCAGAGTGTTGTTTAATAGGACAAACAGACATGCTTCTCAAAATTAATCAAATTATGTGTTTTGAAAGTTTTTAATGTGTATTAAATATTTTAATAAGAGACATTTACGATTAAAATACACATTCCTATCACCAATACGTGCAATAGTACCAATACGTGAGTCTTGCATACTTGTGTGCCGTGGATCTTCTAAAATATTAGAATCATGTGACACAATAATAATGTGGTCGCACTAGTGTTATAGCTATAATTTTTTGATATATGAAATTATAATTAATATACAATACTCACTGGCATTGGATCATTTATGTATTAAATTCTTGTTTCTTTTAATCTTAGATATCATCGAAGAGTCCTTTTCACTTTTGGTGTTTGTTATTCAAAACCATTTCGCCTAAAATAATAATTATTTTTATTATCTATTTTGACACCACTATATTACTTTTAAATATATGTATTTAAATTAATTGACACTTGACAATATCTAGTCTCTGTAGAAC